TACCAAAAAAAGAGATTAATGAGACCCATTGTACAGCGCTATGGAATTTTGCTGGCGCTATATAAATAATAAAATAATAATAATAAAAGATGATTGATGGCTAGGAGACACTTACTAATTGTTAATTTTATTCACAGGTCAAGTGAGAAGTGACCAACAGAGGGCGAAAAAAAGGATGTATGTGGACGAGTAAGTAGAATGTTTTCAAATAGGGTATTAACCCCTCTCCTTCAATCTAAACCCAGAGCTTAGTAGAAGGGGCTTTGGTGCTTGTAAACATTTTTTTTTTTTTTTTTTTTAATATTTTATTGAAAGATTCAAATATAATAATATAACCAAACAATTATAATAATGATAATAATAATAAAACGGGCTTGTAAATTTTGAACAGAATTTATATTTACTTTATTTGCTCTATGTGTATATGTTTCTTTTCAGTGTGAATCATCTTATGGACTGATAGGATTTTTAAGTATAAATAAGTTTTGTTTGTAGCATTGCTACTTTAAATGTTTGTGTGCCCATTGTCAATTTAAAAGGTTTATTTATTACACAATGTAAAAGAAGATGTATACACATTGTATGTAACTGCACTATGTACGTTTTTAAAGTGCAACTCTGTATTTTGTATTTGTATAGGAATACGATTTGTTGAAATTCTTTTATATAAATTATAATCAGGCTTATTCAGTAAACTGTGAATTGTCAGAAATTCACCATGGAATTGCAAATTTTATATCTCGCACATACAATTTGTACCTGGCAAATATATTTGCATATAATGTATATTTGGTTAAATTGCGCTCATAGCTTAAGACATAAAATATCTAATACGTACATAAAGTGACAATAGTTTGCTTGATATGCGGCCCTTGAGCAATCAGGGCCCACGCCATGTATTGGTGGTTGTGTCTGACAATTACATGAATGATAAAGTGCGGAGAGACTGCAGGTATCCTTTGTTTCAGCACAAAGTTGTCACTCTGGGATTCATGAGATTTGGAAAGATATTGATATCTCTAAACCCAGAAATTAGCCTCATTTATTTCCACGTCTTCCTAATGACAGATGCTGTCTCACGGCATTAAATCAGCAATCCTACAGAGGAAATTGAGAAACTGCGCAGTCTTTGTGTATTGACATTGTGTTCGACACATTATCTAATGTTCTCCAGCTTTCCAAATGCCTTGTGGATACGAAGATCAGTCTGATAGTCAATTTTCCTATTAACAAAAATCTCAAAGGTTACACAGTCGTTATATTCCCTATTGTACCTATATATGGATAATGCAATGACCCAGCATTATTATTATTATTATTATTAGTAGTAGTATTGACATAGCACCAACTAAATTCTGTTGTGATTTACAATATTATGAAAGTGGGGAAATTTTACAATAAATTAGACAATTACACAATGATAACAACAGTAGTGCAAGGCTGCGCCAAAGTATATTAATTAGGTGCTTTTGGTGGTGGGGTGTCCTCACTGTATTTAGTAGTCTGATTATTCTCGAAATATGGAAGACACAAAATAAAAGACCTATCGTATAGACTGTGTGGGTCAATATATGTGATAGGAAGGATTTATATATTAAACTCACATTTAGGAGAACTTTAGCCAGCTCAGGTATAACAGGCATACAGCGGTATGATCCCCACTTTTTTTTTTAGGCCATTTAGAAAAAGCTCTAGTGGCGAAACGCGTAAATGGTTTTATTATCTGTGTATTTTATATAATAAAGTTTTTTTTTTGGTTACTATTTGTGCCAACTATCTTTTTATACACAATTTCTATTTTTACCTGGCTTTATATCGATTTTATCACGTGCTTACAAGCTTATCCTGAAGTGGGGATTATACCACTAACGCTGTTATCATAGTGCAGTTGGTCTGCACTATACTTGTAAGTACATTTTCATTTTTTTAAATGTTTTATATATTGTCAAACAGAGAGCACTGTTTTTTATATACCCCTTTCCTGAAAGTTGGACATTATTCCCTCCAGCTATTATTAGCGCTGACCTCTTCTAACTTTTAAATTACACAATGATATGGGAACAATGAGGACTTTGCTCAAACAAGCTTACAGTCTGAGGAGGTGGGGTACAAAAACACAGTAGGGCAGCAACGGAAAAAGCAACCAAACAAGGTGGAAAAGTAGCAGGACTGGGGATGAGAGTGGAGTGTGGCTCTTTAGGAGAGAACAAGAGACAGATATGTGTCATAAAAGTTACTCTGAGAGTCCATAAGCATTTCTGAATAGATGGGTTTTGAGGGACTTCTTAAAAAATTGAAGACTAGGGTAAAGTGTGATGTGGGTAGGCAGGCTGTTCTAAAGGAAGGGAGCTGCGCGCGAGACCAAGCACGAGTTAGCAGTAAGGGAGCGAGCAGCGGACAGGAGAAGGTCACCATCAGAGCGGAGAGACCGAGAAGGGGCATATCTATGAATCAGTGAAGAAATGTAACAGGAGCTAGAGTTGTTTAAAGCTTTATAGGTAAAGTTTAGTTTTTTGAATTGACACCTATAGGATACAGGAAGCCAGTGTAAGGATCGACAGAGAAGCGAGGTATGGGAGGAGCGATGGGTGACAAAGATCAGCCTGGCGGCAGCATTCATTACAAACTGTAGCGGAGCAGTTCAGCTTCTGGGGAGACCAACCAGGAGAGAATTACAGTAATCCATGCGAGAGATTACCAGAGCATGAACAAGCTCCTTGGCAATATCTTGCCTAACAAAGGGGTGGATGTGGGCAATGTTTTTAAGGTTTTAGCAGCATACTGGATATGAGGCTCAAAGGTGAGGCCAGGATCAAAGATAACACCAAGACAATGAGCTTGCAAGGACGGACTGATGCAAGTACAATCAACTTGCAGGAAAAACAAAGGAGGAGGATCAGCATTATGAGAAGAAAAATAAGAAGCTCAGTTTAGAGAGATTGAGTTTTAGAAAGCGGGAGGACATCCAATCAGAGGTTGAAAAAAGGCAAGCGGTGACATATTCTAGGATCGTCAGGGAGAGTTTAGGGGAGGAGAGATATATTATGGGTGTTATCAGCATACAGATGGTAGCTGAATCCAAAGGAGTTAATGAGTTAGCCAAGAGATGCAGTATAAAGAGAGAACAGAAAAAGACCAAGAACAGATCCTTGGGGGACTTCAACCGAGACAGGACGAGGGGAGGAGGTGTCATTGGAAAAGGAGACACTGAACGAACATTTTAGAGACATAGGAGAAGAACCACGAGAGGACAGTGTCACAGAGTCAGAGGGATTGAAGAGTTTGGAGAAGAAGGACATGATCAACAGTGTCAAAGGCAGCAGACCACGGGGGAGAGATCAGGGGAGGAGAGATATATCTGGGTGTCATCGACATACAGGTGGTAGTGGAATCCAAAGGAGTAAATGAGTTTCCCAGGATCAAAGATTACACCAAGACAACGAGCTTGCAAGGACAGACTGATGCAAGTACCATCAACTTGCAGGGAAAGCGAAGGAAGAAGATCAGTATTATGAGGAGGAAAAATAAGAATCTCAGTTTTAGAAAGATTGAGTTTTAGAAAGTTGGAGGACATCCTATCAGAGATTGAAGAAAGGCAAGCGGTGACATATTCTAGGATCGTCGGGAAGAGTTTAGGGGAGGAGAGATATATTATGGGTGTTATCAGCATACAGATGGTAGCTGAATCCAAAGGAGTTAATGAGTTAGCCAAGAGACGCAGTATAAAGAGAGAACAGAAGGAGACCAAGAACAGATCCTTGGGGGACTTCAACCGAGACAGGACGAGGGGAGGAGGTGTCATTGGAAAAGGAGACACTGAACGAAAGTTTTAGAGACATAGGAGAAGAACCACGAGAGGACAGTGTCACAGAGACAGAGGGATTGAAGAGTTTGGAGAAGAAGGACATGATCAACAGTGTCAAAGGCAGCAGAGAGGTCAAGAAGAATTATTATTGAGTAGTGGCCTTTGGATTTAGCTGTGATTAAGTCATTTGTGACTTTAGTCAAAGCAGTCTCAGTAGAGTGAAGGGTGCAGAAGCCAGACTGAAGAGGATCGAGGAGGGAGTTGGATTTTAGGAAGTGAGCCAAACAAGTAAAGACAAGTCTTTCTACAGGGAGTGCAGAATTATTAGGCAAGTTGTATTTTTGAGGATTAATTTTATTATTGAACAACAACCATGTTCTCAATGAACCCAAAAAACTCATTAATATCAAAGCTGAATATTTTTGGAAGTAGTTTTTAGTTTGTTTTTAGTTTTAGCTATGTTAGGGGGATATCTGTGTGTGCAGGTGACTATTACTGTGCATAATTATTAGGCAACTTAACAAAAAACAAATATATACCCATTTCAATTATTTATTATTACCAGTGAAACCAATATAACATCTCAACATTCACAAATATACATTTCTGACATTCAAAAACAAAACAAAAACAAATCAGTGACCAATATAGCCACCTTTCTTTGCAAGGACACTCAAAAGCCTGCCATCCATGGATTCTGTCAGTGTTTTGATCTGTTCACCATCAACATTGCGTGCAGCAGCAACCACAGCCTCCCAGACACTGTTCAGAGAGGTGTACTGTTTTCCCTCCTTGTAAATCTCACATTTGATGATGGACCACAGGTTCTCAATGGGTTTCAGATCAGGTGAACAAGGAGGCCATGTCATTAGATTTTCTTCTTTTATACCCTTTCTTGCCAGCCACGCTGTGGAGTACTTGGACGCGTGTGATGGAGCATTGTCCTGCATGAAAATCATGTTTTTCTTGAAGGATGCAGACTTCTTCCTGTACCACTGCTTGAAGAAGGTGTCTTCCAGGAACTGGCAGTAGGACTGGGAGTTGAGCTTGACTCCATCCTCAACCCGAAAAAGGCCCCACAAGCTCATCTTTGATGATACCAGCCCAAACCAGTACTCCACCTCCACCTTGCTGGCGTCTGAGTCGGACTGGAGCTCTCTGCCCTTTACCAATCCAGCCACGGGCCCATCCATCTGGCCCATCAAGACTCACTCTCATTTCATCAGTCCATAAAACCTTAGAAAAATCAGTCTTGAGATATTTCTTGGCCCAGTCTTGACGTTTCAGCTTGTGTGTCTTGTTCAGTGGTGGTCGTCTTTCAGCCTTTCTTACCTTGGCCATGTCTCTGAGTATTGCACACCTTGTGCTTTTGGGCACTCCAGTGATGTTGCAGCTCTGAAATATGGCCAAACTGGTGGCAAGTTGCATCGTGGCAGCTGCACGCTTGACTTTTCTCAGTTCATGGGCAGTTATTTTGCGCCTTGGTTTTTCCACACGCTTCTTGCGACCCTGTTGACTATTTTGAATGAAACGCTTGATTGTTCGATGATCACGCTTCAGAAGCTTTGCAATTTTAAGAGTGCTGCATCCCTCTGCAAGATATCTCACTATTTTTGACTTTTCTGAGCCTGCCAAGTCCTTCTTTTGACCCATTTTGCCAAAGGAAAGGAAGTTGCCTAATAATTATGCACACCTGATATAGGGTGTTGATGTCATTAGACCACACCCCTTCTCATTACAGAGATGCACATCACCTAATATGCTTAATTGGTAGTAGGCTTTCGAGCCTATACAGCTTGGAGTAAGACAACATGCATAAAGAGGATGATGTGGTCAAAATACTCATTTGCCTTATAATTCTGCACTCCCTATAGAAGCTTTGAGGAAAAAGGGGGCAGGGATATGGGATGATTTGTTGGAAGGGGAAGATGGGCCTAGAGATGGCTTTTATAGGATGGGTACGACAGTAGCATGCTTAAGGGGAGTAGGGACACCAAATGAAAGAGAGCAGTTAAGGATGTGTGTTAAGGATGGTACAAGACAATGGGAGAGAGATCTGATAACGTGGGAAAGTACGGAATCAAGGTGGTGGGGCTAGAGGAAAGGAGAAGTACAGCCACTTTCTGTTCTGTAGCTGGGAGAAGGCCTGAAGGGTAGGGAAGGTAAGGTCCAGGTGTGGTTGCGAGAGAGAGGAGCAAAGGAGGGGAAGAATTATTTCCTTAACTGTTTAATCTTGTCAATAAGGTAGCAAGCAAGGCTATCACATGAAAAGTTAGTTTTGGGGGTGACTTGAGGTGGGTGAAGGAGAGCGTTCAAGGTATCAAAGAGATGCCTGGGATTGCGTGAGCATGAAATAACGAGAAAGGAAACGTAGGATTTTTAGCAAGGGTGAGGGCAGTGCTTAATGAACACCATATGAATTTATAATGGAGGAAGCCTTAGGACCATTAGGATTTAAATCTAATCGATGATATCATAATATAATAAAAGACAGTAATAATAATAAATCAGCAAAGCTGAGCGCTAGCATGTTTAAAGGAACACTATAGCATTTGGTATACCTGTATTCCTAACACTGTAATAGTCTTGTTCTTCCAGTGCCAAAGTTTCCTCGATGTTGCAGTCCTATTTACCTCCCGCTATGTCATAGTGGCGGCATTCCATCCCAGGCTCTAATCCAATCCAATGCTCCTATTAGAGGAGCACTGGCAATGTAATGCCCACAAGCGGAAAGCCTTTTGTGTGTGTATCCAATCAAATCATTTTCATAGGAAAGCAATGCTTTCTTATGGGCTGCATTTGATGACATTCAAAGCTTTTAAGGACCAGTTTTACTCAGTTGTTGAAATTGGAAGGCAACCACTAGAGGTATATTTATGTGTTTAACCCTTCAAGGTAAACAAGGCCATTTCTACAAAACCATTTACATTGAAGGGTTAAAACTACTAGTGTTTTAGACCAAACCAAGTGTTTGCTTGAATATCTGCCCCTGTCCAAATGTTTTAAATGTAATAAAGCGTGCACGCCAAAGAAATCACACTGACACAGAAAAGTTCAGTTAAATGAAAACTTCCAAGTGTATTGTCAGGGGGCAGTGTAGCCCCTTAAAAAGGCAAAGAATGCAACTTATGCAAATACAGAAAGTGAACTATTCAATTGGTTAAGTGTTAGGTGTTTTAGTAAAATAAACATTTAATTGGTTAGGTGTTAAGTGCCTAATCTTGATGGACTTCCTCCTGAGGGTGTTGATGTCATCGTCATCTTAGGTGTAACTCCAGATGGAAACGCCATCTTACTACACGAGGGTCTAGGTCGATGGGAGGGGGTGCTCTAGCAGCCATTTTGAGTAATAAATGAACACAGGTATACATAGTAAATAGACATTATACACACATTAATTTCAATCCATCATACTAGACCACTGCGCCAGACAACTTCGTTGAGATGATGTAGTCTGGATGACTTTAGTTGTCCTCTCAACTATATCTGTTGTCCAAAAAGCAACTCATATATCATCACTATCCAAAAAACACAAATTTACACACACATGCTAAAACAAACATCTGGTATTTTCCACTGCTTTACAATGCAGAGATAATGAGATTCTAGAACGTGCAATTATGGGGCAAATGTGGAGCAATCCCTATGGAACCAAAGGAATGTTTCTGCTGATTGCCCCACAGTTAAAAGCTGTCCCCAGAATTGCACTTATAACCCTTGGGAGTTACAAATAAACTTTTGGGGGTAATTTCACACAAGAATATCTACAAGGCAGAAAGCTTAAATCCCCCCTTCCACCCAACCAGAACATTCACTTAGCCATTGTCAAGATACAGCAACGTTTATCTACTCTGATCCTAAAAGAAACCTACTTATACCAAAGCCATCTATCTCCAAAATGTACTCAGCATAAATCTCCTCTTACATCATTAGACTTCACATTATTCCTGGTTGGATTCCTAGAATGGGTTTTTACATCTACATATATATTATATACAGTGTACGAGTCTTATTGTAGCCCCTCCAGCTAAATGGATAGAAGACAAAGGAAAATGGGAAAGCACATTTGTAATATGAATGGCAGAAGAAGCAGAATGGGGAAATTACAAAATCGCATGAACATTTCTGTCTATCTACCCTGTTCATCTGGCAACATGCATTGTCCTCTGGAATAATAGAAAGATAATGTTTATAAAGAGTTTTATATATTTTCTAACATTGCCCTGGTGGTTCATAAATAGAACAGAAAAAGAGACAGACAATTAGAAATGTCCCACTACTTTAATGTGATGATTTAAAATCTTTAAGAACCACTTCAAAACCACAAAGAAGACCTTAATACACGAGTAAATATTGAAATAAATGTTATCTAACTATTCTACCTTTTGTATTTGTCGGTGTATAATTTACGTCTTCCACTAATTGTACAGCGCTGCAGAATCTGTTGGCGCTTTATAAATACCATTAATAAAAAAAATTAAAAATGATCCCAAATGCAATGTAAATTAAATGTCCACAGATGGAAGGTAAATGTAATGTGTTGAGGGGTAAAAAAAACAAAAACAATTATGGTTTTTATTAAATAAAATATTTGGGACACTCTGAAAAAATTACTTTTTTTGGGGGTGGTAAGTGCTTAAAATAAAGAGCTTTAACCAATAATTTCTAATGTGTTGTCTTTAGGAATGCTTCAAAAGAAATTGTGGTACGGGATATCACATGATGTGAAACAGGGTCTGAATGAGATACAGAGAGAAGTGGAACAACATTTGCATAATGCTTGGTTGGAGAGTTCAAATAAGAAGTAAGATTTTTAAATAAAGAAATAGTACTGTGAAACAAAAGAAGTGGGTTATAATTAGTTACATTGTATGTTCATGTAAGAGATTATATCATTAGAAAGATAAGCAGAGCTCAACATTTCCACTAGTCTTTGGCAAGGAAATTAAGTCCTAGCAAACAGAAATTCATCCTTGGTTATTGTGCCAAGAACCCACCATTTTTGCAGTGGCAAGTAACCTTTAAGGTCTGGCTAGTACTGTAGGACTTGAGATTTATAACCTTGTGAATAAGTATGTGGCGCATTGTGTAGCCTATTCATTACAATTTGAGAAGGGTCACAATTAAACTTTTATTTTATCTGTGAGCTCCAGAGTGTATCGTCTATAGATATATATCATTACCATATGGCTAGTTCTGGAAAAATAGCAGAAGAGCGATTTTCCATACAGATGTTGATGCTATGTTCTCCATATCAAGTTTTCTTCCAGTGCTGGTGCTGTTTCGATATCTGGTATTTTTTAGGCATCGTACATTCTTGAAGTAAAGGCACAGGCATTGCATGGGGACTGACTTTGGGGGTCTCCTTTGTTCCGGATCTCCCCAGCATGTGGAAATTATTATTATTTTTTTTAAATTAGTTTAATTAAATACAAAATTAAGTGCTCAAACTCCCACTACTCCTGGGTGGCAGCAATGACTATAGTAAACATCAGCCCTAATACATACAAAAAATAAATGTTACCTGTACACTATCCCAAATTCCTATGCACATTTAAATGTATTTTTTTATTATCACTCCAATGGCCATTCAAGTGTAAGCTCACCTGCCACATTGAGGCAAACCTCTTGGATGATTCCTACACTAAAAATTCATCTTGCTGCTTTTAGCTCAAATGCAAAATATCTAATGATACAGAGAGGGGTATTTTTCTAAACCCCTACACACTTATTAACCCTTAATAAGGAACACAAGGGCTGGGCGGCAGAACTGTAACGTGGCTGTGAATTGCAAAAGTAAATACAAGCATACAAAATTAAGCCATGCTCTCAAACTCCCACTACACCAGAGTGGCAGCAGTGACTATACTTCACATCAGCCCCAATATACAATAAAACCCAAACAAATAAGCGATGGTATGAAGTGGTCTGGGTATCTATTGTGTCCCTTTTAGGCTGAAAAGAAGACTCAAGTTCATGATGTTCAGCCTTTCACACATGTCTCTTACTATTGTTAATCCAAAAGAAAGAGGAAAATCCCAATTCAAAGCAATTTCTAATTTTTCTACAAAATGGGAATAGGTGAAAAAAAAATCCTTAGTTTCTTCTGTTACTCTACATATTAACTATGATATCCTTGAATATTCTGCTTTTCCAAATAATCTGTTATATAATGTTATATATCATCCGAGACACAATTTTTTTAAAAGTAAACTAATTTTCTAACCTTTGTTTAACTAAAATCTTCCAGTCCCTTAATAAATCAAATCTGAAGCCCGCATCTCCCCTTCAAGTTCCATAATATCCTTTGCATGGGTTCAACCGGCACTATGTTAAAGGGTCTGGCTATGAGAAACAATGAGGTTGGTTTAGTATTAGGCAGCATAGGGTTTATACAAAGCACAGGCCCGTTCAGAGGAAATGAGACACATGGATTGGTTTTGGGGGGAAATTAGATACATGGAGAGGCTTTGGGGGGAGGAAATTAAACACATAGAGGGACTTTGGGGGCAGGAAATGAGTCACATGGAGGGGATTTGGGGGGAGGAAATGAAACACATGGAGGGGCTTTGGGAGAAATAGGACACATGGAGGGACTTTGGGGGAATGAGATTAATGGAAGGACATTGGGGGGAAATTAGACACTTGGGGACCTGTGGTGTGAGACACATGGATGTACTGGGGGGAGGGAATAAGACACATGGAGGGGCTGGGGAATAATGGAGGGGCCCAGGGCAATTTTCACACAGGGGCCCTGTGGTTTCTAGTTACACTTCTGGGTAAAGAGGGTA